GTGAACAGAGCTGAGAAAGGTATGTACTTTCAGTAATCCATGGATGCCTAATCTATGCATGCATATAGATATGCATATCTATAATTTCATCTTTGTTGGTCTCTCTATCAGGCACTAAGCATGAGTTTATACTTACATCATTGGTTCTTATCCAGTACCACATGGTTCATTCTAGTCTTTTCCTCTTGCTTGTTTGTAACCTCCCTGTTTAATAGTAAGAAACCTGGCTTCCACCATCTGCTGTCAGTTTACTTGTTGCTCATCTCTAGTAGACACGTAAAGTAGTTTCAGAATTGTTAATCTGTAACTTGTGAAAGACAGTTTTACCTACTAGAGTACAGTGTTTATGTACAGTTCTTTCTGTCTTTACTTTTACAGTTTTTAGTAAAAATACCATTTTCCAAAGTTAGATCAGTTCTTTTTCCCCAACGCTTTAGTGAAGTTGTGCCATACATTTGTAATACAATCGGATTATTTTGTCACAGTCCGCATTTCATCTTGTACATCCATTGCCCTTTTGGCTGATTTGTAAAATTTGTAAGTATTAAGGTTCACTCTGTGCTGTAAAGTTTTATGAGTTTTCACAAATGCAGAGTGTCATGTATCCACCACCATAGTACCATACAGATTAGTTCCATCACCCTTAAAGCCTCTCTGCTCACAATCTTTTGAGAGTTCCCAGGGGATCTCTTTCAGACTGATATCTCAGCTTGATCTTTCATTGGAAAAAAAACATAAGCTCTGAGTCTTTTATTTCAGACAATGGTTCTCAGTCTCAGTTGAACACAAGAACTATCTAGAAACCTTTACAAAATACTGATGCCTGATCCTACCTCTAGGTCCTGACTTAATTGATCCCATCTGGTTTAGTTGGTCGGGGTGTAGGTCTGGGTACTAGGACTTTGAAAACCTCCCCAGATGCTCACGGTGTGCAGCAAAGGTTTAGAACCACTCTGGAGTCCTCTATATCTTGTTTCAATCAAGCCGCTTTTTTGATAAAAATACAAAGAATTAATTGCTGCATTTACACCACTTTGGGGAATATAATAAATCAATATGTAAGTTTTGTTAATAAGTAATGTAGCAAGGATGAATTTCACACACTAATCTTGTGCAAAAACATATGTATTTTTTGTCTCTAATTGAACTCAAAATGAACCTCAATTTCTCTTGACGACAGCAAATTTAATTTTGACAAGCCAAGGTTACTCAATTACTTTTAATTTAAAACTCTGTTCTTTGGGAGAAAATAGTTGAATTCAGCTTTCCTCTTTCCCTTATCTGTTCATCTTTTCCCTGTGATGACCTAGGCTTGGGTCTAGGTGATCTCAGATAGCAACAGTGTCAGAGAAGGCACATCTAGCCTAGATGCATTTGGTGATTCCCATACAGAGAATTCTGGTCCTGCTTCCTGTGGAGAATGTTGGGAGGGAAGTACTGCAGAGCAGAAATGGTTTTAGGACAGATCTCAGAGAGAGCACCCCTAAGGGCTGCCTCTTCCATCTTTGTCAGCAGCCAATGGACATGGAGAAAGTCTGCAAGGTTCTCAGGTCAGATGGAGAGGGGCACAGAAGGTAGTTGCAGATTGAGAGCAGGTGGCCTACCAGAGTCCAAAACCTTGGGCCAAAGGACCCCACAACAGATACTTGGGAGTGAATGTAAGCCAGTGGCTGAGTGGGGAAGGCCACTGGATCCCAGAGGATCAGCAGCATCTGAGAGTATGGAGGTGATGGTTATGCCAGCCTGGAACATGGCCAGATGCCCTTTGAGAACATCATGTGGTGCTGTCCAGGTTGATGAAACAGAAACAACAGCAGAAATGGGTGCTGCTGATCCTCTGGGATCCAGTGGCCTTCCCCACCCAGCCACTGGCTTACATTCACTCCCCAAGTGTCTGTTATGGGGTCCCGTGGCTCTAGGTTTTGGACTCTTTGGGAGGCCTCCTGCTTTCGAACTACAGCTACCTTCTGTGCCCTTCTCCATCTGACGTGAGAACCTTGCAGACTTCCTCCACACCCCTTGGCTACTAAGGGAGATGAAAGTGGCCCTGCAGGGTCTGCCCTGAAACCATTTCTGCTCCACTGTAGCTGCTTCCTTCCAGAATTCTCCACGGGAAGCAAGGCCACAAGTCTTCTCTGCTTAGGGATTCCCAAACCCATCTGGGGCTTCCTTAGTATCTTCTGGGGATTTAACCTCTGTATGGCCAAGGAGCCGAGTGCTATCTTTACATCTAAACTATCATTCATCCTTCCCAGCTACTCCCTTCAGTAGAAAGAGGGCATGGATAGAAAACTAAATCACATTATTATTCCTTCCTCTCCTCTTCTTTGCATCATGAACTCTGTGTGTACCGCCCTCTAGCTTGGCTAATGACATGTAGTGCCAGTATTTTAGAATTAAAACATCATCATCATCAACAACACCGACAACACTTTTCTCTGTCGAGAATATAGCTCTTCAAATAATGGGCTTGGGTTTCCAAACTGTTGCTTCTTTTGAGTATTTTCTAAAAATCCATTTAGAAATTCAGTCTCTGTCTATTTTCTAGCTATCTGCCTTCTGTTCAAAGCAGTGAAAGGCACTGAGCAAAGTGGTGAAGAACTTGAGGCGAGAAAAATGTGGCAAAGAAAAATCTCTATAGATGTCTCAGAACAACACCGCTCTACTATCCTGTTATGATGTGATATGGACCAAATAAATACTCCAAATAAATTTCAGTTTGGGGTTAGATGGATTTGGAAGGCAGATTTCCATGCAAGCAGAAATAAAGGCCAATAAGATATATCTACATTTAAAGAACCATAGATCTTTCCACACATGCAATAGGAAAAGCTGGACATTTATTTGATTCTTGGCTAAAGCTCCAGATCACAGGCAGTCAAGACCTCAGGGTGTAAAAACAGAATATTGATATTTAATCTGTATTTATTCCAGGAAGATTTCACTGCCAAGGTGACAGTTGGTGAGAACTGTCCAAAGGGACTTTCGTCAAAGTCTGTTAGATTAAAACAAACAAACAAATATGAATTAAAGTGATTAAAGAATAAATCCACTGGAAAAATAGATTATTAACTATTTGTTCAGATTCCACAGATGAGTAACTCTATCTTTTGTTTTGTCCTCAGCTGGAAAGGCAACTCATCATGCAGAGTGAAATGAGGGAAAGACAAATGGCCATGCAGATAGCATGGTCTCGGGAATTCCTCAAATATTTTGGAACTTTTTTTGGCCTTGCAGCCATCTCTTTTACAGCTGGGTATGTTTGCTATTGAACAATTTCTTCAATCATTTACTTCTTTTTGTCTTTTCCATTACCATTTTATTATGGCCAGGATAAGACTGGTCCAAATAGTGTATATAAGCAAAGTAACCTGTTATACCTTAGTCATTGGGGGTAACTCTGTCAAAGCGAGACAGTAACATTTAATTTAGTTTCTTAGGGTTGCTTCTGTCTTTTTCTCTATGTTATAAGTTAGAGACAGCACCCACTTGACACCAAGATAGAAGGCTTATACATGTTTATCTCCACAATCTCTTAGTGGTATATACCAATCCCTACCCATTTTAAAAACAAGGAACCTGAGCTTCAAAGTCAAGTAAAGATGAGCAAGTCACAGACTTTGCTCTTGAGAACTGCAGCATCTGGTTAGGGTTATTGGGTAAGGAAATCCTATTTCCATAGAATTATCAAATGAATTAAGTAACTTTGAAGGAAAAGACATTCTTCCAATAAGCAGGTAATTTTTTTCTATAAGTATACAGGTATGTATTTACAGGTTATTTTTTGATACTATTTTTTTTTTAATTCTTGAAACAGAGCAATTAAAAAAAAGAAGCCAGCCTTTCTGGTCCCTATTGTTCCATTAAGCTTTATCCTCATCTACCAGTATGACTTGGGCTATGGAACCCTTCTAGAAAGAATGAAAGGTAAGTATTTAATAAGCTAGAGTTTCTTTTTGCTGATTTATTTTCCATTTCAAGGATCCCTGCTTTAGGAACCCTTGACTTGTAAAGATTCTGACAAGACTCTCTCTTTGAACCTCCAATGACCAACATTTCTGCTCTCTTTCACACAATGGTGTGCTGGAGCCAGCTTATATAAGCTCACAAGAACCAATCACTACATTTTCAGAGATTGTGTAAGCTGGTTGTTAAACATAGTCATTTAATTTATTAAAACTTATATAAACTTGTAATTAAATTATATCAAGTTAAATTATGTTTAAAACAAAGGTAATAAATAGAACTCATCTGTTTCTAAATATTTACTATTATCCATATTCTTTGGTTATTTATATCTATTGTATCTGTGTGATAGAAATGCATGTGTAATATACAGACAAAATAGAGCTACAGTCCAATTTCAGTGACATCCCATTGGTAGCCTGAAGTTGGTCTTGGTGGGAGTATTTACACAATGGAAATCTGCAGTTGCCAAATCAAGGCTTGACTTCTTGTTTTGTTGATTATCTAGACCAGGGGTTTGCAATTGATGGCCTACAGATTGGCCACCTGTTTTCAAAAGTAAAGCTTCATTGGAACATATCCATGCTCATTCATTTATGTGTTGTCTGTGGCTACCTTCCCATTACCATGACAGAGCTGAGTCATGAAACAGAAACATAGGAGCCCACAAGCCTGTAATATTTACTGTCTGGCCCTTTAAGAACGTTTGCCAACCTATGGTCTAGATTTTAAAAATTGGTGAAGAAAATGGTAATAATGGAGATTAAGCTTAAAAGTGTGCTTTGTTTGTAACTATTATATTGTCAATAGCATAAAAGTTGGTGAAATAGTCTTCTAATATTTAAAAACTATTATCCAGTTCAGCTAAGAAGTTGTTCACATCATTCTCAAATAAGTGAAGTTCTGACATTTGTCTTCAGTGAAACAATTCATTGTTTCACTTGTGTCCTACTCATTTGTGTAAATGAAAACACCAATCATCATCTATTATACTCTATCGACAACTGCAACATAGGCTCGCTATGGATTCAGGTGTTCCATAAAAATTAATGAAAGCATTCTGTAAGAATCAATTTGCTATGTAAAATTTTACAATTAAGAGTTTTGCACATTTTATTATACATATTTTTGTGTATAATAAACATGCATAATAAACATATATTTAATAAATTTATATACATTTTATTTTCAGAGAACTGGTTGGTAAATATTCACCAGCACACTGCTGCTGTCACAGAATCCTGGTTTGTACCGCCCTGGAATTTGACACAGCTGGGACAGAAATTGAATAGAAAATTTTTGTGAGAATTTCCTATTTAAAAAAAATTAGAATTCATCAGAAAACTTATCACATTAGAAAACTTAGATTATACTTTTTTTGCATGTTAATAGTGATGACCCTAAAATATCCAATCCCTGTTGGACTGAGTTTATCATCAGCCATTCTATAAACACATGATGAGAATTACCAACTAGAAGGAAGGCTCTCTCACATGGAAAACATCTAGTCTGTCATCAGTGGCCAACCTAATTACATATAATTTTATAATGATTTTTACTTGCTATTTGAGATAGAGGTAAATAAAAAGAAGGTATTTACAGATGATTGAAATGTTCTTATAATTCGAAAACTATGGCCTGTTCTGTTGGGTTTGGAGTACAGTTAATAGTGTGTGAGAAGAAGGCCAGGTGCAGTGGCTCACACCTGATGCCAGCACTTTGGCAGGTGAAGGCAGGCAGGTCACCTGAGTTCAAGATCAGCCTGTTCAACATGGTGAAAACCTGTCTCTACAAAAAATTAGCCAGTGCACACAACTGTAGTCCCAGCTACTCAGGAGGCTGAGGCACAAAAATCACTTGAACTCAGGAGGCAAAGGCTGCAGTGAGCTGAGATTGTGCCACTGCACTCTAGCCTGGGCGACAGAGCTAGACGCTGTCTCAAAAAAAATAAAATAGGGTGTTAAAAGAGGAGTACTCACAGAAAGTCTTATCTTTTATTCCCAAGGGAAACTTGTGAAATGTAAACATGTATTGTAATACAATCTTTTTAAATGTGCTAACTAGTCTTCAACAATGAAAGCTAGCAAATGTCATTGGGCCCAAGAAATTAATGCATTTTGTAGCTCTTTGAAAGAGGAGTTGTTTATAAAGATGTGTATATGTGTATATTTGTATGTATACAGACTAAATAACATTTAATATTATTTTGAGTATTTACAAGTAATGTCAGGTTGAAGATGAGCTTTTCTCAAAAATTAGAATTTGTAGTAAACTTTACTTTCTCTCTTGTCTCTTATATTAAAGGGCAATAGGAAAGACTACATGTGGGTTCTCTACCGCATATCCCTCCAAACAGAATTAATACTAATCCTGACTTTGGTTCGAGGGAAAAAATTATTTATTTTGATGTTTTTTTCTCTTCTGCATCTCCTGATTTATTTATGAGTTTTCAGAATTTATCACTATGTTTCCTCTGGGAAGTGTGTTACTTCTCCTGAGTAAAATGTTTAAGTGTGAGATTGGGAACATGGCTTATATAGTGTTCAAGCCTTTTAGGGGCTATAGCAATCAGGCTTTGTCACAAATTCCTGAATGATCCCTTTGTCACCTTGTGTATTTCTGTACTTTATTTAAGGTGAAGCTGAGGACATACTGGAAACAGAAAAGAGTAAATTGCAGCTGCCAAGAGGAATGATCACTTTTGAAAGCATTGAAAAAGCCAGAAAGGAACAGAGTAAATTCTTCACAGACAAATGAAATCGTGTTTACCAGTCAAATCTCAAAGCACAGAATTATTAACTTGAATCATGGTTCTTACGGTTTTTTAAATGCTCAAGATTTTGATATTATAGATTTTATTTTAAAATATTAAAATGCAAGATGAGTTTTGAGCTATTTTAAAATAAAATTTATAACATTCAACACAAATCATGGAGGTGCTCTAACTTTCAGATTTCCTCTCTGTGTGCATTACAGATATCTAAGTGTAAAATTAATAAATTGTTTTGAATTCCTGGAAGCAAATGCCCAGCTGCTCTCACTTCCCTGGTCACACATACTTTCCATATCACATTCCATTTCCATGGATGCTTCGATATTTTGTGTTTTTCAGTTGTGTCCTGCTGCCATATAACAGAAAACAGTATTGAATAACATATATACTGCATTTACTATGACTGTCACTATTCCGAGTGTTTTGTACATATTCTTGTAATCATCCCAATAATTTCACGGGGCAGGAATCGTTTTATAAATGTAGAAACTGAGGCACAGATAAACAGCTTGAACAGAGACAGGAGCATGCAAGCCAAATCCAAGAAGTTGCTGCAGGTCATCCAATTTGACTGGGCCGAAGCCGTACTTGGCCAGAGCTTGGATTTGAACAAGTGTGGCTCCAGTGGTTGTGCTCTAAAAGGCCTTGGCAAGGTTAGGTCTTAACTCATGCTTAACATGAAAAAAAAAGCTGTAAAAGGGAAAAGGTAACAACATTCAAATAATGGCTCAGGCCATAGTTACTAGAGAGGTGGAAATGAGAGAGGTGGATTTGGATGACTGCCTTTTTATTTAGACTCACTGAGAAAAATCCCCATAAAATACTCCTATGTATAGGTATTCCTCCAGATGCAAACCCTACATTTAACATGCTCATTCCAAAGAGATTTGTCGATACTACTATGTGCCAGGCACTGTTGTAAACACTAGAGCTACATAAGTGAATAAGTAGACAATGTCTTGTATCCTGGGCAGAGGAATATGTTCTAGAGAAGGGTGGGAGAATTGGGGGGAGCAACAAATTAACATGGAGATAAACAAGATCATTTCTATTCATGACAAATGCTTCAGTGGAAATGAAACAGTGGTAAGAGAATGATTGGAATAATGAGGTGGTGCTACTTTAGATTGGGACTGCAGACACTGGCTCTCTACAGAGGTGACATTTGAACTAAGACATGCATGGCCAAATAATAGAAAAAAGCTCAGGAAGAGTAATAGGAGGGTAAATCTAAAGGTAGGAACAAGCATGAATATAATGTGGTCCCTACTTTCAAGGAGCTGACAACATATCAACATGTGGTTTGTTACAATTTTAGTTGTAGAGAACCTTGAGCCGAGTCTTGAAGGATGCATAGAAGTTCTCCACGAAGGCAAGTGTTGAAGAGGAAGGGTGCGCCAGGCAGGAGAAGCAGCTTGAATGAAGGTAGGACCGTGCAAGCTAAATCCAAAGAGTTGCTGCAGGTCATTCAATTTGGCTGCAGCAAGGGGTTCCTCATGTGGGGTACTTTTTAATAATGATCCTGGTGATGGCATAATTCAATTCCTGAAGGGCCTTGGATGTAACAGCGAGGAGTGTGGACTCTTTTCTGAGAGTGATAGCAGTAAAAGAATGCAAAATGGTATTTTACCCAGATTAGTAGATTAGAAGGGAAAGATCAAGATGAGGAGCTGCAATGATCCAGCTGAGTGCTGACCAGGGGCCTGAATTAAGACTACAGCCTTGGGAATGGACTCAAGATTATGAAAAGAAACAGTAGCGATACCCAGAAACCAGTTTGTGGTCACAGAGCAGGACAAGCTGTTTTCCCTGCATTTTTAATCCATGTGGATTATCTAAGGCTCCTAGAGAACATGGGAAAGAAGCAGTATTGAGAGGAATACTCATGGACTCACAAATGCCTAAGACCCAGTGCTGATCGTAGGTCACACCAGAATCTGGAATTACATTTCTTTCCTCATAATTCAATCATGATATTCAAATGTTCCTGACATAGTCTAGCCAGGACTCACCAGGAATGGGTTTGAGGCCTCTGCAAGGGCTGATCGGATCAAGACCTTATATGGGATTTTCATTACTGTGTAACATAGCCAGTCCCTGGGCCCCCTTAAGAACACCAGGATGTTCATTTGTATTGGCTTCTTCCTCTGGCACTGACAGTTTATTAATAATTCCACCTCAGTAGAGGCCCTGCTGAGAAATATATACACACACTCTCATACTTTTGTTTGCTCCCAATTGCATAGTGAGGCAAAAATTAAATTGGAACTATTAAATAATGACCATGCAGTGCAATTATATTGTAACATTTTTCAGTTTATAATTGCTGATTATCCAAAGATTTTCCTCTCTTATTATTACAGTGCCATTTTGTTGAAATGAAAAATATTTCTGCTGTGATGCTCCTGAGCTAATTCTTCTTCACTTATGTTAATTAAATACTCGTTTATACTTATGATTAAGCCCTAATTGCCAACTAGATATCTGACATTTCCAAATACTGAAACTTATATGGTCTTCTATAAGAAGCTAGCTTATAATCATCACAAACTTTTATGATATTGCAAGAAGAATGAGGAAATAAATATGAGAAAGTATATTAGGAAAAGGATAAGAAACAGGTTTCATTATAAACAAAGATTTAGATTAAACTCATGGTAACCTCACTCAATCTCTTTGTCAATTATTAGGAACAAAGTTGGAGGAAAACTTAACACACTATGTGTTTGTGTTCTTCCTAAGACATTCTTGGCCCAGGCAAAGCAATACAGAGACTGCTAAGTATATGTGGAGTCTGTTAGAGTTAAGGGATATAAATGTGGATCCAGAGATTCTCTGCAGCAGAAAGACTGTTCTTGATAATCACTGTAAAATGGTAAAAATGCAGTTTATGACACGTCATTACCTAAGTGTTTTAAATGTTTCATATTCACATTTACATGAGAGAATTGTTTTCCCAGTTAAAACAAAAAGATCAAAGTCTGAAATTACATATGATTCAAGTGTATATGTTGTTCCACCAATCAGAATTTGTGTTTAGAGGTTGAAGTTTCCTTTATGATGTGTTGCTTATTGCACTTTGTAAAGACTTTGTGAGAAAGATCCCATAATGCAAGGTAGTTTTAATGACAAATAGTAAAATTATAATCAAAGATGTTCAAGAGGAAGGGAAGACCCTTAGAAATAGTGTAAGCCCTTACCTTACACTTGAAAAAATTGAGGCCTTTTGTAATTGACATAAATTTTTACATCTAGTAATGGTAGTTACATTAAAACTTTGGTATTTGTTATCCCTGGCAGGATTCTTTTCAATGCATCATGCTGCCTGACCAAGAAAAAAAATAGTGTCAAAGTTAAAATAAAATATAATTTAAAAATTACCACACATGTTCAGTCTCAGAGCCATATAAAGTGTCCTAGGGTGGGGTTAGAAGGGGATTGGTTAGAAGAAAATTGAGAAGGAACAGACTCAGATTGCAAAAATAATCTATTACCAATATAATCTAAATATGAGCCATTTGAAATTGATAATATATTTTGTAGACTGCCACAGTTTTAATATATGAATATTCAAGTGTGATACTGTAGAAACACAAGCCAGAACCTCGGTACTTTTTCTGCCCTACCATTCTGGGAAAGGAATAAACTGTTACTGAGAAAATCTAATTAAATAAAGCCCATGGTTCAGGGATTGTGGTATCTCTTGACCTTGGAGGGTGTCTGTTTTGTGAGAGGATTGGAAATGCTCCCTTAGATTTGGCCTTGTAGATGCCCACAGGAGATTTCAGGAAGTACCTTGCCTACCATCAGCTGTCTGCTTTCTCCTTTCAGAAAGCAGTTTCCAGTATTTTCTTCAAAATACTGGCTGTTTAGCATCTCCACTGATTGCTCTAATAGCTTTGGGTCAGTCCCGGTACTTATGATGTCTGGAGTAGTATCTGGGCTACAGATGTTCTAAGAGATACAGGCTGAATGGAAGGAACGGAAGTGAGAAAAGCCTAGAAAATAAGAAAATGGGCAAGGAAAAATGGGATAGAGCTGACTCAACTGCCTCTAACAGTAGACAGCCCAAGAATGCCTGTCAGGATTCAGCTACTGGCTTTGTTGCGGGAGCTGAACCCACCAACACAATCCAAAGACCAAAGCCACCAATGAGATTCCCTCACAGGACAGTTTATTTTGATGTGCTGACTTGTTCCTGTGGTTACTCAAATGACAGAAGTGTAGCTGGGGCAGCACATAGTAATCCTGACCACTGAATAAAAGCAGTGGAAACTGTATCCCACTGATAAGAACTCAGTGGCATCACTAAGTCTGAGGTTTGCATAACATTTTTGCCTCAAAATTTCTCAGTCCACAAGTGTCAAGGATTGAATGAAGGAGGGTTAGCCTCAGTAGGTTTATTTATTTTTTCTTGAAGGACTTCATCTGTGGTCAGCAGCACTCCATGGGTGTTTTCTTCTCTGCACTTGAGGTGGAGGTAAATCCTGACTTTGTGTTGGTTTAGGCATGCCATTTGGTGTTAGGAGAACAGAGTCCATGGTGTAGGAATGGCCAGAAATCTAGGACTATAGCTTGATGACGGTTTCAAAAAATGGTAAGGAAGTAAATGGCCATTGAATGTATGTGAAAGTCAAAGAGTTAGAGATAGTGGTAGAAACTGAAGTGTGATAAAGGAGACATGGGAAAGTCTATCAGGATAATGTTAGAATAATATGATCAGCCTTTGAAAAATACTAGTGACCGTTTTTCCTTCTCTTCCCCCCATTCCCACACCATTAATTTACTGCTGATAAACATTTGACTTAACTTGAAGGTAACACCAACTTAACCACTAAGGTGATTTTGAAGAAAGATGAGCTAGGAACCCAAGATGGGTTCTGAGGCACTTCACAGTTTCACATCTCCTTAAAATGCTTCAGAGAAAACTTGGTCTCTGGAATGTTTTTCTTTTAATCTTCAAAGAAATAGGAATTTTGGAAGCAGACCAACTGATGCGACCTATTTCAAACTAGTGATAATAAAAAGACACCTGGGGTTGGAATGAAGTCATTACAGTTGGATAATATAGAACATGAGGATTCTTTATACTATTTTGTTTACTTTGTATGTGTTTGAAGTTTTCATAATAAACAGTTTTTCATAATAAGTTTTTAAAAGCAGAAGTACTTTCCAAATCATTCAGATCAGCAAACTTGATCTTGCTAGACTTTTGAAACTACAAGCATTTTTAAAAGATAATGAAA